TCGGGACCGCTTTGCTCGCGAGGTGGCCCGAGGGATTTGTGTAGCCTCCGTAGTTGCCTCGCGCTGCCCAGACTGAACCTTTCGTGCCCAGCCGACCCTCAGAGTGCTTCTCGTTTTTTTTTGGTTTAGGAGAGGTTGGGGTTTTGCGGTTTGTTTTGCTTCTGTATCCCCACCTCCGTTCCCGGGAACCCCGGGTGCTTCTGTCCAAGTTTCATGTTTCAGCTTTGGGCCTTGTAGTTCTGCGGTTTTGGGTTTCGAGCTTGAGGGTTTTGTTGATGTAGCCATGCGTGTGCATCTCACTGTGCCTGAGTTTTGTGTGGACCCGAAGCAGGAAGGAAGGGGATCACACAAAGGCACCTAGCCTCCCAACCGAGTCGGAGACTTTGTGAAAGGATGCCGGGCAGCTCAAAAATCCTAAGGCCGCTTCTACCAACCACGACTTCTAGATCCACCAGAAGTCGTGCAAGCCCCAACCAGGTTTGTGGATTCATGCTTGGAGTTTAGGGCATAGGCCCTGACCAAAAGCCAGGTTTCCTTGAAACCAACCACTCTGTGGAATACTTATACTACAGCTTTTGCATGTTCGCCTCCAGCGTTTCGTGCTGAAGTACTTATGCCGAGCAGCAAAAGCTTCAGTTTCGATAGGATGGCTCAGATAGGGATGTATAGAAGCTTGCACCTAAAGCAATTGATGCTGCAGGGCATCATCGTCCGGATGCAGGTTTCGGGTCAGGTCAGTGTTTTCTCAGGCTCTAGCCGGTGGTGGAGCCGAAAAGGTTGAACCAGTTGGGTTTTGGAATAGGTCCTTAGACAAACCCCCAAAGACTCCCACAGGTGGTTGAGGGCCCTACGAAACTTTAAAGCCTGAAGTCCTACAATGTAGACTGCCGCATGAAACCTGCAACCTTGGGATAAGGGCTTGGAGTTTACACTTCGTGCACCTTTGTAAAGCTCTACAGGACTCAAAGCCCCCAACCACAAACCTCTAAAAGCTTGTTAGAGCTTTCATCAGAACTCTTCTAGGACCCTTATCAGTCGGCGGAGCCCGCGCATGCCTCAGCCCAGATCAGACTGTTGCTTTCCTTGAGGGGAAATGAAGGAATTGCTGTCCGATTCCGTGCATCTTGCAACAGACGTCAGAGTTTCGAACACTATGCAGGTCCATGTGTTTCAGTCCTTGCAGCGGCAATGCGATCTCTAGAGTTTGAAACCGCTGATATTGGGAGACTCCCCTTTGAATCGTGCCAACGATTCCGTCACGCCAGAAACGCTCTGTCATCATGAGCCCAAAACCACAGGAACCCTGGCAGAAACGGAGAGGGGGTGGGCCCTCCGTACTCGAGTTTTTGAGGGAAGGAGGTCTCGAACATCGGAGATTTCCAGGCCTGCGGTTTCCGGCCGCCTCAACCGAAGCAAAGGCTTGAGGCGTAGACCCCAGAGTACTTAGGAGAGCTCTTGAAATTATGACTGCGCAGAGTCCTACTCTGCGTCCCCCGCCGTCTCCTCCAAAGGCAGAGACAGCGATGGTTCTGCGCTGCTCCAGCCTCGCCCACAGCTTCGAGCAGTTGCCTCCCAGTTACCGGAGTCACTCCAGAACCGGCTGCTTGACGTCCTTTACAATGGGGGTTGCTGTATTTGTAGGGATCCAAACAAGCTGCCTCCTCAACTTTGGGTTTGTTTTTTCCTTGGAGCTTTACGAAACCTTACTCTGCGGAAACTCCCCTTCCTCGTTGGCTGTGGAGAGCAGGACGTGTGTCTGTGTTGCGCCAGAGGAGCCTTTGCCCAGCATGTGTCCATGCACTTGGTCGCCGCTGCGAGTTATCTGAAAGAAGTTGCAGTCCTTTTGTCCATGCACAACACCAACTGGCTATCCCATGCATCACTGCAGGAATTCCACAAGCAGCATCGGCTGGCTACGATCGAAATACAAGCTTGGACGTAATCGCAGCTAAGTGATTTCAGTGCACATGAGGCATGAGACCACGTTTGCAACGAAATATCGGCGGGAGCCGTAAGTAGCAAGTCACACGGTATCTTTCTGTTTGACCATGGCGCTCTGGAGCCACGTTGGATTGGCCGCAGGGTGCCTGTGGGTAACCACGACGGCCGCAGAGGCTGGAGAGCATGAGAGCATACGTCTGCAACCAGGAATTCTGGCAGAGTGTAGCCGCCTTAGCCCATGGGACGCTCCCTGTTGGAGGACTCCAGCTACCTGAAGGACCTGTCCTTGGGCAAGACGGCCTGCCAGATGGAGCCTTTCTTCCAGCCCGACATCACGAAGTACCGCTGCAAGTTCTGGTGGAACCACACCCGCTCTCCAGAGATCATTCCGATCCTGGACTCTGAAGACTGCAAAGGCTGCACACTCATGATGCCATCCCTGGAGGAGTCCTCCAAGCCCTACCTTGACATGAACTACTCCGACGTCCAGCGCAGAACCTGGAGGTCCGGGAAGAGCTGGAGCCGTAAGTTCGCCTCGGCGAGTACGGAACCGTCCCAATTCATGTGATCAGCGCCAGCAATCTGACCCGAACTTATGAGGTCTACCTGGAGCGTGATGCTCCCTGGTGGATGAAAGCACGCTTCGCGCAACAGCTCTCAAACTGGGCGACCGCAGCCGCCCTGATCATGGCGGTCACCTCCGTCAGCAATTTCATGGCCTTGACCAGTCAAATTCAGTTGCTGGACTTTCTTGCATGTAGGTAATGAGAATGCCCTGAGGCTCGGATTCTTGTGCTTGCGACGTAGTGAAGTAGTGAAGTGGGAGAAGCCGAGCTTCAATTGTAGGTGGCTCCTCTGCAGGGCCCGCCTTCAGATGCCGAGGTTCATGGATCTCACCACGGACATGCAGGGCACCCCAGAGGTCTTCGTGGAGTTTGCTGGGCACTTCAAGGCCGCGAACTTCGAAATCGCACAGCGCCTCCCGGACCTGGGCTTGCCGACGCTCGAGGACCTCCAGGAGTACAGCCTGAAAGCCGTCGAGAAGCTTCAGAGCTCCTTTGAGAAGGTCGGGCTCCAGGATTTCAGTGTCCTGGTTTTGCAGTACTGCTATGCTCTGGAGGCGTCCGGGCAGATCGCGGCAAATGCCATGCTCGCCCACAGCAGGTCCACAGCCCAGCAGTTGCAGAAAAAGTTGGAGGCCCATTTCTCCTCGATGAACTCCACGCGGACAACAAAGGCGACGCTCACGGAGAAGCTCGCCGAGCATCGCCGCCTCTCTTCTTCCAAGCGGCTCCGGGGGTCCGGCATGGAGGCGCGGGACGTGGAACTTGGGGCCTACGATCGGCTCGAGCACGACGTCGAGGATTCCGGCTCCTTCGTGGTCGCAGAGTGGACACCGCAGGAGTGGGAGGAATTCGCACGTATGGCACAGGAAGATGGGGTGACGGAGAGCGACTTCGATGGGCTGCAGGCCCTGGTTCCATGTCAGCAGTCCCCCGTCAAGGAGGCCGACCTGGGATGTGCAAGTTGTGTTTCACAAGTCATAGCCGTCTCGCTTGTACTGGTCAGGTGGTGCCCTTCCTGCACGTCATGCACAGGCTCAACATCCTGAGGCGGATGATTCACTCCTCTGCCGGCACCCTTCTTCTCATGTTGTTGTTGCTGATGAGTGTTGGTGGTAGCTACTTTGCTTACTGGTTTCTCGTGATGCGCCACAGTCAGAAGCGGATGCAACTCCTGGAACCCGGAGTCCTGGGCCTCCTGCTCTTGGACCTGGGTCTCGTGGGCTTCACCAAGTCCGCAGCGAAGATGTTCTCCCAGCGGTGCATCATTAGCTTCTACGTCTGGAAGCCCGAGCATTGGCAAGTGCAGGCCTTCGTCGCGCTTGGGATCCTCTTCTACCCTGTCGCCTACGTGATCTTCGCCGGCACCTTGATCTACCACTACACCGTAGGACACAGCCGCCATGGCAAGTCAGCCAGCCTGACACAGGAGGATCATGAGACTGAGAATGACCCGAAGGCGGGCGGCTGCTTGTGAAGCAATCACCCTTCAAGCAATGCACTGCATCCTCCATTCACTCCTAAACCCTAAACCCGAAACCCTGGATATGCTTGATCCTTGAGGACCCTTCTGATCCATTGAGTGACGGAGTGGTCTTCAACGAGAACTTTGGGAGGCGGCGCTTCGTTGAATCAGTAGTGTCTGCCAAATGCAATCAGCGGCCTTTAGGCTTGCACAGCAACGCTGCAACAATGTAACAATGAGCCAATCTAGCATCTGGAGTGAACAGGTGGGTGGACACGTCCGTAGACGAGATGAAGGTAATCCTGGATCCACCGTTCTGGATTCCTTTCGCAAGCGGCCTCGTCAGCAGCCACGTGCGTTCTTGCATTCCAATCCTTGGACCGGATGGACAGCGCATCAACTTCCGCAAGGATTCAAGAACGCCGAAGTCGCACGAAGTTATCGGAGACAGACCAGGAACAGCTGCGACAAGAGCTTGAGGCGAGCACGTTGACATCAGCTTCTCGGAAGGTTTTGCTCCACCGGAGGGAGGTGGACCAAAGGGAGCGGGAGCTGCGTCAGAAGAAGAGAGAAAGAAAAGAAGAGCATGCAAAGAGTTTATGGGAGTGCAGGGAGGAGATGAGACGGCTGACTTCCACTTACATGGATTCGGGTGAGGATCCAGCAGGCCCCATCGGAGACCCTTTCTGGTTCGCACCGGTGAATGCCTCCGAAGCCAAGCCCTCCTCTGAGGATTGTCGCGTGAATATTTCAGACCTTGCTGACGACTGGGTGTCGCAAAAGGGTCGTGAAGACTGGGAACGGGTGGACAAGGACGAGGCTTTCGCGATCCTCTCCTACCTTGAAAGCAAGGCTCTGTCGGAAAAGCAGCTCAGCAAGTACAATATTCTGAGAGTCGATGCGCATAAAGGCTTCCTACTGCCGCGCGAACCTTTCAGACAGATATCCAAGACGCATGGCATTGATCAGCATGAGGACCATCCAACAAAGTGGTGGTTCGCCAACGACGACGAGGAGCTCAGATGCATCCAGGGCGGGTTCGCGGAGACAGGGAACAACGCCTGGCTGGACGAGTACCGTGAAAACTGCGGCTACATACAAAACCCAGCAGGCCAGCGCCTTGTGTACTTCGAGAAAGCCAGCTCATGGTCTGATCTTTCCTGGATGAAGCTGGGCTTCGAGTGCAAGTCAGGTGAATGCCACTGGACCAAGGAGCCAGAAGAGGGCTGGGACGTTTTCGAGAAAAAGATGAAAGATCGGGGAGTCCAACGCACATCTGTCTACAAGTATGCGGACAAATGGCAATGGATCGTCCTCGAGAAGTGGGACCTTCCTTGGCGGAAAGAGGGCAAGCTGGGCCGCGGTCTACTGAGCACCAAGATGCAGCGCAAAATCTTGGAGGATCACAAGCTGCGGGTCCCAGAGGTCATCCCAATCGAGGAGAGGAATGAGATCCGGAGGTGGCTTTGGCAGTCTCTTCTGTCGATCACGCAACTCAAGCTCCAGCTGTTTTGGACCAGGATGCAGCACCCATTGTACTTTGAGAAAGACATGACGCTAGACAAGGTGGCCCGGACGGATTTCGATGAGGTTTGGTTGGAAATTCTCCGTGCTAGACCCAATGAGGAGAAGCTATTTCCAGGAGAAGAAGGGCACTCTCACGACGAGCTGGCCAGATACTGCCTCATGAAGCTGGAGGACTTGTACGAGGACGAGGGCCCTTGGTGGGATTTCATGGACAAGCCTGGTCAGGATGAGCAGAAGATCATGTTTGACCACAAAATGTTCTTGGGTCGTGATTTTGAGATCTTCCGGCGGCGCTGGGAGAAAAGGAGGCATTTGCCAATTCATGGCTATGCTTCCTCTTCGTGCTTCCAGAGCTTTCCAAAGAAAGTAGTCGGGGCCAAGCTCTACAGCTTAAAGATGCCAGAGGATCCGGCTGAGTGCATCGTCCGTGTAGACGTGAAAATGCAGCTTCAGCATGTTCCGCAGCTGATGCGCTACACCGACAACTTCAAGATCAGGGTGCCGGCCAACAGCTTGGAGCTGCCCTTGCAGTCACATCTTGCCATCCTGCTCAGACAGAGCCGTGACGGCGAGCAGTTCACCTATGTTGTGGACCGCCTCACGACTCTGATCGCCATCGTGCTTATCGAATCCGATTCCGATGGCAACTCTTGTGCCGTTGGCGTTCTCATTTTGGCGCTGATCTCCCTTGGCAATCGCTTCCTCGCACACTGGTTTACCAACGGGACTGAGCACCCGGAGATGCAAGTCAGCCGAAGCTCCGGTCGCTACCTTCCGCTTAACGAGGGAAAGACGCAGACAAAGTTGACGTCGCTGTGGCAAGTAGCGCTGGAGCTAGAGACGTTGACACAGCTCCTGAAGTGTCTGGTTCTGCTCTTTGTCTACACCAGCCAGTATGGGTGGCTGCCGCCGCCAGTGTGTGGCATTGCCTGCATCCTTGTCTCCTGTATGGTGATGCTTGCCATGAACCTTGGAACCTTCCGGAAGGAGCTCAACAAAGACCTGGAAAGGCTCATGCAGGCTTTAGAGCGCTTGCGAAGGCTAAAGGCTTCGGCTGGACGGTGGCTTGCCAAGAATGGCGTCGTGCAGGGTGAGAGCAAACTCCTGGAAGAAGAGGCGACGGTGCAGGAGATCTTCTTCGTAGTGCCCGAGCTGGGACTGCACCTCTCTGGCAATGTGCAACTGGATGATGGCGTTTCGAAGCAGGAGTTGCGCAAGCAGCAGCTGCGAAAAGTGACTGTTTGCTTTCGTCCAGTCCGGCAGGATGAGCGTGAATACGTGATCTCGGCGGCCGACTTTGAGAGGTACTATCAAGATATTGTGCCCGGCTTCACGGTGGCCGTGAAGGAGGACCAGCTGAATGCCCGCAAGGCCATACCGCCCATTGCTGCAACTCTGCAGTGTGTCAATTTTGCGAGGAGCCGCATCAGCCGGCCCGAGCTGGACTCGTATTACACGCTTTTCTTTCCCGAGGATTGGGAAGAAGAACATGGGCACGATGCTACGTTCTCCGAGGCCCTTCTCGGTCATTGGCGAGAGGAGGTGACAGAGTGGATGGAGAAGTCGTTGGGGGCCGTCCGCAGCGAGCGCACACGGACCAAGCAAATCCAGGACCACATCATGACCCTGCTTTCGAGGCGGTTTGAACTCAACCGGACTCGGCACTTCGTCATGGTGAAAGTAGAGCACGTCATGCTGCCAAGGTTTTCTGCGCAAACATCGCACAGCCAAAGAGATCCAAGCAACAAGAAGCTCTATGTAAGCCTGCTCTATGAAGATGAGGACTTCATGAAAGACACACCGACCGAGCGCAACAGCGGCATCGCACGCAGTGAGAGACTATCTCGCGAGAAGATTGAGGAAATGATGGGGGAGGGAGGCTCTCTGCGCAAGTTCCAGGAACAGATGGATGAGATGGGGATGGACCTGAGTCATTGGAACACGCCCGAGCAGATGGCGTTCGGCTTCGACACTTTTTGCAGGCACGGCAGGGAGTTCAAGGTACCGATGCCGCCTGCAGGCTTGGCAGGCTCCAGGTTCAAGCTTATGATCTGGCTGCAGAATGACGATGAGGACAAAGACGGGCGGGTTTCAGAAGAGCTCCTGGGCATCAGCGACCCCTTCTCCGTCACTCTGCCCGACAAGGAGCTTATGGAGCAGACCGACATAGACCTAGAGCACGACCGATGGGTCAACAGAATCAAGTTCTACACCAGCTGGAGGGTCACAGCGGGCCAAGAGTTGAGACGCATACAATTCGACAAAGGCGACGGAGCCGAACCCGGATGCTGCGCCTCCTTGCTGCAGCGTTGCCCATACTGGGGAGCCCCGCCAGTGACCAGAGAAGATGTCATGGTGCACAAAGGTTTCGTCGACCTGCATGTGCGACGCCCCACCGACGAGGAACAGGAGTTGGACGACGCAGAGTTGGCAGCGGTGAAGGACGTGGTCGCTGGGAACAGCGAGCTGAATCTAAAGAAGCTTCAGCGCCACCTGGATCGCAGAGCCATCCTCGCGAAGTTTTTCGGCTTGGGGATGGACGAGTCCTGTGTTGAGGACATGAAGGTCCATCTGGAGAAGCTCGAAAAATTTAAAGGGGAACACATGGACAGTGGCATTGGGCCAACGATGAAGGATGTTCCTATGGAGGTCACTACGAAAGAGAGGCGACAGCAGGAACTACTGCATCAGGACATTCGACGTACCTTGTGGACAGTAGAGGAGATGGAGAAGGCGATCCTCAGTATTAAAGTCGGCATCGACGTCTATTATGGTGGCGCAAAAGAGCAACACGAGCAACTCGGCTCAAGGCCGGCATATGCGGTGCGTGCGCGAAAGCGAGGACCGGTGACCCAACCTGTGCCCCCTGTTGACTACAAGGCCCTACTATTGGAGAAGCTACGAGAGTTTCAGGAAAAGGAAGCACACGTCACGTTTGGCATCCTGCACTATGTCATGCTGGCTGAGAACCTGAAGCCCAACAAGGTCTGGCGTCCCGACGCCATCTCTGCACACGAGGCGGGCATCCTGCTGGCCGTACCGCAAGACATCCGTCGG